ATTTGAGGACCCAGAACTGACTTTGGCAGTACGAAGCCAAAATGTTGGCTCCTGCAATTGTATCCAGAAATTGTGCAACTGTCCTTTTTTCCCCTCCTCTGTGACTCACAGCACTCCCTTACACTACCCTTCTTGTTTGGAAAGGGCTTTGTCATTAATAGCTGCTGCTGCTAAGCCATGAAAAACATGGTAAAGACACTGTGGAAGACCAGACGGTCAGTGCTCAGATGTCACAACACACTCTGCAGTTGTTCATGTGGAAGTGTTAGAGCATCATGAAAGACCACTAACTTCTTGACAGCGGCAGCTGTTAAGCAGCTCTTTCAAAATAAAGGGCACTGTCCCTTCTTGGTCTACCCCTCGAAGAGAGCAGACATAGACTAGAACCCAATTCTTGCACCACTGCAGGTGGCCCAGCTTTCTTCTTGGCTGCCCGTGGGACAACACCTGCCTTTGACTTCAGGACATTTGCTTCCGCAGCATCAGCACTACTAGCCACAGGTAACCCAGCTGGCTCCCTGTTATTCTGCCCTGCATCAGGAAGCCCTCTGATCCTACGAAGCAGCTGGAGAACTAAACTTCACAGAATTACTAGTACGCAAAGTACCAATCCAGCCAAACAATTTCTGGCTAGAGGACTCCAGCAACCAAAAGATATATATATAGAAGCTGAAATTAGACACTAATTAGAATTTTTAGGAATATTCTCAATTTAAGGATACGTAGGTTTGTATTTTTCATCACAACAAAACCCCTTCCAGCCTGTCTCCTGAGGCCGATCTCTCATTGAGCTGCAGAGCGACAGCAGACCTATAGCTGTGAGCTGCTTCCCAAGTGTCATTCCCTCTTCATCTCCAGGTGAAGAAATGGGCTGAAGACTGGGGAACATTATAAATAACAGAGGTTCTTGTCAGTAGCAGAAATCTACCCAGGAATTCAAGTACTGCAGAACTCAGCTGTCCCTTCTTGCAGAACGTGGCCCTCAGAGCCCTGCAAGAAAGGCCACATTTGTGCTCAGATGGCACGGCACGTCCTGCAGCAGCAGCTCGTGGGCAGTGCTACACAGCACCTCTGCCACCCCACCAAGCTGCAAAGCTCGAGGATGCTGCAGCCGCAGCCACTTTCTCTAGGGAAATGGGTTCCCAAATACAAAGCACACCCCAGGAGCCCAGTCTCTCTCCTGCGCTGCTCGGCAGCATGGCAGGAGCGCGGCTGGCACGTGGAGAATCCCCTGGCTGTCTTCTTGCCGCGCAGGGGGAGCAGGCAGGCAGGGGGTCTGCTGGGTGTTTGCACCCAGGAATGTCATCCCACCAGCAGGCTCCAGGGCCCTGGAAGTGCCGAGCTCCCAGCTCTGCAAGGGTGAGCCCCTGAGAGCCAGGCCTTCACTCCACAAGTCCCCACTCCGCGACCTGCTCATGCCACTGCTGAAGGAGCCGTGCCCCGCTCAGCAAGGACAGCTTGCGGCAGGCGATGCTGGGTCCATCAGGGCAAGCACCGTGCCCAGGCCTGGGCCACGGCCTCCGCGCCGTGGGGCAGAGGTGGGCGCTGCCTACCCCAGACAGAAACAGGCAAATCCTGGCTGGGGCTG